GGAGAGGGGGAGAGGGAGGGGGAGAGGAAGAAGAAGAGGAGGAGAGAGGAAGGGGGAGAAGGAAAGGAGGAGAGAGAGGGAGGAGAGGAGAGAGGGAGAGGGAGAAACATCAATGTAAGAGAGAAACATTGATCAGTTGCTTCCCGTATGTGCCCCTATTGGGGATCAAACCCGCAACCTAGGCATGTGTCCTCACCAGGAATCGAACCCACAACCTTTCTGGGGTATGGGATGATGCTCCAACCAACTGAGCCACCTGGCCGGGGCACCAGTTATTAATCTTTGACCTTGGGCAAGTTACATAACCTCTCTAGGTCTGTTTCCTAATCTGTAAAACTATAAAATGAGGCAATCACGGATTTCACCTCATAAGGACGAATGGGAAGATATAAATAAAAAATAGAGAGAGCACTCTGTGCTTTGCCTTTCTGAATAACTTAAGTAACATCTCTTCTTCTTCTTCTTTGCTTTCTCTCCTCAGTGAGACCCTTGTGCTTCCTCAGGAAAAAAGGCTATAGATTCCCCAATGATCTTAAATATGCTGGAGATTTTATTTACTTATTTAATTTTTAAATTTATTACCTCCACGGAGTCCAGTCCAATGCTTCTCTATCCTCTAGAGAGAGCCGACCTAAGTAGTTGGCTCGCATTGTCTACTGATAACCTTGGCCAAATGCACACCTTGTGCAAAGGCCAGGACCACTCTCAGCCCTGCCCTGCCTGATTTTTGGGTTGTGGAGAGAGTGGGAAACTGATGGCAGAAAAGTATTCTGGTAACAAAGATTCTAATGTTAAAGACAAATGGTCGTCTTTGGAGGAGAAACAACTTTCCATATAGAAAATATGCAAATATATGAAAGAAAAGCATCTGTTCACAAACCGTTATGAACAGCCCACATAATACGGAAAGCTGGGCCACCGATCTCATCAAAGGGTTTCCGACGCGTTATCACTTCCCAAAGGATAATACCCCAGCTGAAGACATCACATTTTTCACTGTAATTGCTACCTAGAAAAAAATGTAGTATAATTTCAAGACTTTTTTCTACATGATTTAAAGAAACAACTGTTTTCATAAATTTTAAGAATGAGCATCATGTACAAAAACAAGAGGAGGCCACATGCAGAGCTGAGAAATTACTTTCTGAAGTTCCTTAAGTCTTTGCAACAAATACACTTTTTAATGAATTAAGTGTTAATAATAAACTAGAAAATCTACTTTAGAAAGTTAGTCATTTTCTACCTTTTCATGAAGAGGCACAGGTTTTATCTTTAAATAAGACATACTGCTCTGGGACAGAGAATGAAACACTCAAAGATTCCTTTCTATAATTCTTTAATCTTGAATTTTCTTCTCCCATTCTCTTGATGAAAAGTACTACTCTACTACTGAAGCAGAAGAAATGTCCAATTTAGTGTTAAGATTTTCTTTTCAATACATGGTAAGATAGAATTCTTAATTTGCAAACTTAAAAATAAGTTGTGCCCGGCCGGGAATGGCTTAGCAGTTGAGTGTTGACCTAGGATCCAGGAGATTGAGGTTGGATTCCCGGTCAGGGCACATGCCCGGGTTGCGGGCTCGATCCCCAGTAGGGGGCATGCAGGAGGCAGCCGATCAATGACAACTCTCTCATCATGGATGTTTCTCTCTGTCTCTCCCCCTCTCCCTTCCTCTCTCTGAAATCAATAAAGATAAATTAAAAAAAAAATTAAGTTGTAAACAGTGAAATTTATGAATAACAAACTTATAGTAGATTATGCAGCAAAATTTATATGATCTATAAATTGGTGGGTGAATCATTACAATAAATAACCCCCCAAGAAAACCCAAAGCTCAAACAACTCACTATACAAATGAACAATTATTGTAATAGTAGCTATTCACGTACTTAGCTTGTGTACTACACATGTACCTAGCGCTATACTGTAAGCATTACAATGATGTTACAATCTAATTTGGGCTAAAGGTGCTGACATCTTTCAGATATAAAAAAAATCTACATGGCCTAATAGTCTGAGCTTCGTTGCTCTAAACAATTAACAATAACTTTTATTCCTGGGTTCTTTTGTATAAACAAATCTTTCTGCTCTTCATTCTACAGGAATGCTGTGTTATTTTAACTCAGAGAAAGGTATATTAAATAAAAAATTTTAAAACAATGCCAATTATATGCATTCTGTATATGAACTAGAAAACTTTATCTTATTAGGAGGCGTTATTTAATTTTGTATAATTTAACAGTCCTGTGTCCACTAACTTTTAAATTTAATTTTATGGCAAAATGGTTCCACACAAGTGGCCAGTTGCACAGCAAATTTCTTTCTCTCGAGTAGATGGCTAAAAACAAACAAAAACTTCAAGTTCATAAAAAAATAAAAGAGTAAGCCTTAATTAGAATCTGATTACTGAACATATCTGAATTTTACGGGAATTCTTGTGTCTTAACATGCAAATCACACATCTTCAATTCAACTTTTCTCATTTAAAAGATAACGTGGTGTTTTTATCCAGAAACCTAGTATGAAATTTATGGATCACTTTTTTAGAACTTGAGTGAAATACAGAGATGTAAAAGAAAATAAACATAGGCTTATCCTTTACTTGTCACTCTTACTACCATATTTTCGCCCAATTACTTGCATTCTTCCTAAGGTATGCTCATTTAGATTATCAATTTTTAATTGCTAGGAAACCAATACAAAAGCACAGTTAATTCCCATTATTCCTGGTATTTATGTTCTATAAAGTTGCTATGAACACTGAATCATTTGCTCCTTGGGGAAATACAGGGTTAGTTTCCTTGCGAGCCTCTTCATAACAGTTTTGTCAACTGACCAATATATAACATGTGTGTTTCTATTTAAGACACCTTATTTAATATATATTGTTGATTCATTAATATTGAACTCCACTACCAACAGCACTATAACTCATGCCTGAATAAAGATTAGCTAGCACATATATTTTCTATGTAAGGCACATACATTATAGCCTTCTAATACTTAAGAACACTAGAAAGCATTTCAATATTGCTACTGGAGGCAATCTCCAACAAAAAGAGCGTGTGTGCGCACGCACGCGCGCGCGCACACACACACACAAAACCCTCACACAAAAACAACAACAAAATACATGGCACTAGAGATGAAAAAAATGTCACAATATGAGAGCTAAAACAAAGCAGTGTTGCTTTGTTCGACGTTATGTGGGAACATGTGTACTGGGCAACTCAAAATTTTCCCCTGCTCCATGCATGCCTGCAAATAACCACAAAAGCACCACGAGTACTGATTTTAGGATTATAAACAAGCAAATCTGCAACTATGGAATCTAAGAATGAGGACCAACTGCACATATGCTTGAACTTACACAGACGGTGCTGGATCACTTAAATCTTGCTATGAGATTTAAGATCTATGGCTATGTTTATTTAACATATCCTCCAACTTTATATATACTTTATAATTATGTACCACACAGAAATAAAACCATGGGCAAGGTCACAAACACATTGGAGTTACATGGAGTAACAAGACAGATTACCAATCACATCATGCTTGCCATTTTACCTTCAAAAACTTCAGGTGCCATCCAAGCAGCACTCCCCTTGTTATTGGTCATGTGTGTCTGAATATCACAGGCTGTACCAAAATCACAGATTTTTAAAACTGTCCCCCCTGCGACCAGCAGCAAGCTGTTTTAAAAAACCAACAAAAATACAAAGGTTGTAAGACTAATATTTGATTCTAAAATAAAAGAAGAGACATTTGTAGAAAGAGAAAGAGTTAAGCAAAATGTCACCATTCAACTTCTGTGAAATGTTACCTGGTCACTAAGACAGCTTAATAGTTCAGAAGAATGTCAGCAAAAATTAATTGACCTTAACCTAGTTCTCTTAGGAAGACTGCTAGACCCACATTTTGATGTCTCCATGTCATCTGAAGTACATGCAAATGAACCTACAAAAGGTAAATACCATAGGGGCACATGCACAAGCTGATACTGTGTACAACAACTAACCAAACCTCAGATGCCTTCTTTATATGCCATTTTGAGGAATTCTTACTGACCACAGAATCCATAGGGTTTTCCAGTGACAAGATGTAGCATGTATGCTTATATATACAATTGTATATGAAAGCATAACCATTCCAAAGGTTTTAAATTCCCTAGTACATTCTAAAATATCAATTCCAATTCTAAAACCCAATTTGCAAACTGGGGGCTCCAAAGATAATGTGCAATACTACAGGTCCAACCATAACGATGCCTAAGAGGAACAAAAGACCTAGATCAGAGCTCTTATAAATATGTTAATGGTATTTATTAGCAAAAGGACAGTTCCTATCTACAAATGATTTTAGCAGGACATATCTGATTTATCTAAATAGGTTGGTTAAATAAAATGTAAATCCTAAAATTTATGGATTTATGATATATGGTTGGATAGAGAATGAAGTGACTTAAGTTGTGTAATTATGAAATATAAAATATGTTAGAAAGCTAAAATGACTTCCTTTTGTGAGATATTTTCATGTATGCTGTTTAATAACCAGTCAGTTGTTCCAAAGCCAAAGCATGCTCTAATACAGAAGGAAAGGGATACTTTAGGGAGTTGCATCTGATGGTTTCTGGCTGCTCTAGGAAAAGGATACTTTGTGCCTGATGCTCGTCTGTATCCTTTCAATCAGTCAATTTGTTGCCTGAAAAGAGCTATCATTTCCCTGATTTTGCTTTGATAATCAACTCTGTTAATCCAGGGGGAAAGGAGGACTCAATTTTCATAGCCAGCCAAAAAAAAAAGAGCTAAGTAGTGATTTCTTCTTCACTAGTCAAGACAGGTAGCTAAGGCAACAGCCTCAGGACTCAAGTTAAAAAAAAAAAAAGTGTCACGAATCTGGGGTTTACACATTATTTGACCAGGGACCTGGGGAAAGAGGAATCAGTATAAGCCTGGGAGTAAAAATAAGGTACACTAGTGAAAACAGTGATTCTAAGAGTTCAAACCTATGAGAATATCAGATTAGATATGAGAGTGACAAGCTATACCCAGAAGAAAGCTTTAATACTTTAAAGCAGTATTAAGAGGATGGAATACTTGAGACTGATTTTCTAGGGAAAACCTTTTATGGTGATCAAGGATGGGAGAAAGGGGGGAGGAGATGTGGGGACGCCTTTACTTTGTCACAGCTGGATAAAGAAGAAAAAAATTAGAGGGGAAAAAGGATGATAAATAACACATGTATGCTTTCTTTAACTGAGTTCCTATATAAACAAAAAACCCCACAGTTTTAGTCTTTTAAAATACTTATTTAGGGAATTTTGAAATTTTTTCAAAGTCCCAGAATCCTCAATATGGGAAAATCCAGAATATTTTCAAATTCTACTCAGATGCCAGAAGTGTCCTTTTGTCTTCCTCTGAAAGGGTAAATAATAACCACTCTGTAAATTTTCACAGAATATCTACTATGTATGGACATTGTGCTAGGTATTAGGGATACAGCAGGAACAAGATGGACTTGTCTCTGCTCTCATGGGAGAGTCTAGAGGCAACAACACATACTGCAGGCACAAATAAGATAGGCTGAAAGATTGTAGAAGTATGCAAATCTAAGATAGGAGTTATTAAAAATAAAATTCAACAAAAATAAAAATGTCACTAAAGACAACATTGTAAAATGCAAGCTTAGATATATGACTAACTGATGGTGAGTAAAAATAAACACTCTTAAGCCAGCCAAAAGGGAATAAAAAAAGAGAAGCTCATGTGCCACCTACAGCTTGAATTAGGGAGTGGGGGGAAGGAGAGGGAGGGGGAGAGAGAGAGAGAGACACTTACTTTGGTGGTTTCAGGTCCCTGTGAATTAGGGCTTTGGGCTGCATGCTGTGAAGATAAGCCACTCCTTGGGAACATTGTAAACACCAACTCATGGCATGGGCAGCAGTGTAATACGGCAATGGTTCAGCACCATGCAGCACTGCAAAAGAAAGGCACAAACTAAAAAGAACTTTATTGCATATAACAAAAGATACAAGACGAATGCAAACACTATCAGAACAAATGACTGGGTATTTTTTACACAGGCTCCCACCAGTCCTGCTTTTAATTCTTTTCTAAATAAAAAGATGGAAACATCTAATAATTTCAAATGGGTAACTACCACATAAGTACCTAACATTTTATAGCACTGCCATTAAATGTTATACATATATTCAAGTCAAATTAATATGCATTACCATACTTTTTCATACTGATAGAAACTATCTCACACAATTACATAAATTATAAGCAATGTGATGTACACTACTATAAGAGATACAGCAGTAGTACAGAAGAAAACAAAATGTGTATCAAAATATTTACAATTATGCTTTCTATAATAGCTAAAGACTAGAAATAGTTCAACCAAATAAAACAATGGAGAATCAGATACCCATTAACAATGATAAACATATGGGCAGTACATATAAGTAAACGTTTATGTAAAATGTTAATTTAAGAAATAAAATGCAATTTTATTTTATATAAATGGTGCAACAAGAAAATACATTTACAAATATGGTTGGAATTTCTTAGAGTGAAAGAGATCTGTTCTATAAAGGTAACTAGTTAATAATACAGTTTTCTTTCACTGTTATAATTAAAATGTTCTGTGAAGTGTGTTTTCACAATTTAATTTTTTGAAAAGAAAGCAAAATAAAGCAGAATGAAATGAAAGTATGGTTAGAGGTCTAAAATGGGGAGGCTCAAAGCTAAGAGAGGCAAAAAGAAAAAATTTAAAAGAAGGTATTTTAAAATTGACTTAAAAAGCACATTTTACTTTACTTAAATGCTTTTAACATTATGAAAAGTACCATCAATTTAAAAGATCTGATATACTTAAAGATTTCTAAACTTTACATACTAATGTTGAAATGTCTTATTTTTAATCTTTAGTAGATTTCTTTTTTTAAAATTACCTCCTTTTGGGCTCTGAAGGTCACTGTGAAGGATATTAAGTAACTTACAGTTTATGTTAAAAGCTTTTTAATTATTTTATTCCACTAGATAAAGATAGGTCTAATGACACTCACCATTATATAAAGAGCCCCCTTCAGCATATTCCATCACAAGACACACCTAAAAGAAACATGTGCCAGAATAATTAACCACAGAGCTACAGCACTTTAGGGGGCTTGATAGAGAACTCAGTCCAACCTTTGATTTTATAAATGCATTAAAAAAAAAACATTCTTTTGGCCCCTACATAAATGCCACTAGGGGAAAAGAAGTATGTATAATCTAAAACCTTGTTGGTCTAGGCACCTACTGTCTAAGAGTAGAGAAATTTTTATACACATAATCAGAAGATCTTTGGGGACTTTCTCCAGTGCTAATGAGTAGGCACCGTCAGAGAAGAGCATAAGTCTCTAAGATGAGGTTACTGGATAAGAACACCTAAGACAACTCCTTCAATATACTGGGTTGCTAACAGTCTAGAAACAAACATATAAAGTTCAATTTTCGCCCCAGAAATAGCATAACATCAAAATAGCTAAACTATACACCTGCACGTATCTGCCACGCCATTTCTTATACAGCTGACAATGAAAAAGTGACACTTACTGGATTCAAACAGGCTCCATATAACTTTACAATATTAGGATGGTTCACACGGGATAACTGCCGAAGCTGTAACAAATAAAGGTTTCTTTTAAAAAGTGCTAACTTTTGATGAACTAATTTCACAGCATCATTGAAATCTTAGGGTTGTACTAAACATTAATCATTCAACAATCACTATTTACTACATAGCAGGCACTGCGGTCATAAGTGTCTGCCCAGGATGGCACAAGAGTCCCTGCCCTAAAGATCTCACAGTTTAGTTGGACGACAGACATGTAAACAAATAATTAAAGCAATGTGCAAAGTGCCATAACAGGAGTTACAGATAGGCGTGACAAGTACAAACAAGAAATTAACTTGCCAAGAAATGTTAGGACAACGACCCAGAGATGGCACTGGGCTGAGTTATCAAAGCCAGAAGCAGCCACATTATGGTTGTCATCATCATCTTCATAACTATGGTTGAATAACTTACCTACTCTAGGCTGGGCCCTGGTGGGCACTTTATAGATATTGTATAATTCTCACAACTCTGCAAAGTAGGTATTATAATTTCCATTTTAAAGATGAAGGGACCTTTAAGATAAGGCTCAGAGAGAGTTAAGTGAGCTGCCAAATACCTTGCAGCCAGGGTTTGAACTTTGGTCTATCTGACTTAAAACCTGTACTCTTCCAGCATACTTGTACTCTAATCCCCACACTCCATATCACATCTTAAATAAATTCCCTCCTCTCCATTCCCACTACCATTGCCTTAATAATTCCAACCTGAACCACTGCAGTAATTACTATAGCCTTCTGCTAGCTGGTCTCCCTCCTTCCAGTTTTAATCTTCCCTGATCCAATGATTCATACTGAAGTCAGTGAGGGGTTTGCTGTACTCATTTCTCTTGCTATACATCTCCAACTTCTATTAATATGTCCCCTCAAACTGCTCCCTGCTGCCTTTCTTCTCTTCCTTCTCTCTTTTCTGTCTTTCCCCCTCTCTTCTTCCTTTCCTTCTCTGTTACCTACATTATACTGCTGGCTCAGTCCACTAACATAAACCTTTTAACTATATGCAACTAGAAAGCTGTACTTTTCTATAGCCACTACTTGTGAATTTTTGGTCCTAACAGAAGAATTAATATCACTATTTATTATATATGTTCATTTTATATATATATATTAATTATATTTCATCTTGTTAAGATTTAGCACTGAGCTTCAGATGGCAGATTATTCAAGCATTTACTCCTGCTCCCTTCCCAAATCCCACTAAGACAGTAAAGATATTTTTTTCCAAGGCATAAACTCAGAAAGATTAACAGAATGTAAGTGTTTTGGAAGTTGGAAAGCAAATGGCTAGCAATAACTGACAAAGCAGACCTAAAAGAAATGAGAAAAAGTGAGAAGTAACCAGGTTTAGCTCAGAAAAATCTCCAAAAGGTTGAGGAGTGGTGGTAGCATGAGGTACCTAAGTAAGCTAATAAAAGACGGGAGAGACTGATTGAAAGTTAGACCCAAAGATCTCCCTTCCAGACTTCAAGCAGCTTAGTGACTGGCTCTTTATCATCCCAAAGATTAAAGGTGGATACTTTAGAGAAGGTATAATAAAGAGTCTCTGGAATGGGGACACCAAACAAAATTAAGAAATGAGCTCAAAGTTGTTGCCTTTGAGAAGCAGAAGGAAGAGGTATAAGGGATTGAAAATTTTTTAGCAAGAATACATGGAGAACTGACAATTTAAATTACGGATATTTATAACATTGGTTAAAATTTTTTCCCCTCCAAGCTATTATAATCTTTTTGACTCTTATTTCCTAGCATTTAACTTATGCTTTTACCTAGTTTTGTGAAACTGCCAATACAACAGTACATAGTCAATGACCTTATCTAAACTATGAACAAAAATTATGAATAAGCAAGGCTGAAGCCAGACTCCTAGAACATACTACTAGAGATTATCTTTCTTTATGACAACATCAAGCTATTCATCAATATTTCTCAACTCATTCAATTACAAAATCCACTTCATCATATCACAACCAAGTTCTCATTTCTCAACATTACACATTTTTTAAAAATTTATCTTTATTGTTGAAAGTATTACAAATATCCCTTTCCCCCCCATTCACCTCCTCTACCCTGCACCCCTCCCCCCAGGCCTTCATCACACTATTGTCTGTGTCCAAGGGTTATGCATATATGTATATTAGTTCTTAGGTTAATCTCTCCCCACCCACCCA